CACCCCCAGCTCCCTCCCGGGCGGCCACGGGGGCCCCCCCGGGCCCCCCCGGGCCCCCCCCATGCCAATCCCGCAGGTGTCCCCTCATGTCCCCCCGTGTCCCCCCGTGTCCCCCCTGTGCCCCTCCCGTGCCAGGCCCACGGGTGTCCCCTCGTTTCCCCCCGTGCCCCCCGTGCCAGCCCCGTGGGCACTCACGGCGAAGAGGCTGGTGCGGCGCTTGGCCCCGCGGTGGAGGGAGCTGGGGGTGCCCAGGGGGGCGGGGGTCTCGCTGCGCAGCTCCCGGTGGCTCACGTTGGGCGTGGAGGGCAGAGAGGACGAGTAGTCGCTGGTGTGGCCCCCGTTGCTGGCCTGGGGGGAGCGGGGGGTGGGGGGTCAGCCCTGGGCTGTGGCCGGGCAGGGGGGCCGGGGCGGGGGTCCGGGGGGTACCTGGCTGGGGTGGACCCCCCCCACAGGGGTGGAGGCGGCCGAGTGGCTTGGGGAGCTGGGCAGGGACTTGCAGGAGGCCACGAGCTGCTGCTGCTTCTTCAGCGCCACGGCCTTCTGGGCCACTGTGAGGGACCCTCGGTCAGGGGGGCTGAGACCCCCCCACCTGCCCCTGGCACGGCCCTGACACACCTGGGCGTGGTGCCCACCCCCAGCCCACCTGGGCACGGTCCCTGTGTCACCCACACACGGTCCTGGGCCTTCTGGCCACCCTACCCCCAGCCCAGCTGGGACCCCACACTGCCACTAGCCCAAGTGGGACCCCACACTGCCACCAGCCCAAGTGGGACCCCACACTGCCACCAGCCCTGTCCCACCGGGTCACCAGCCCCTCTCCCCACCCCTGTTCCACCCCGGCCACTGTCCTGATCCCACCCTGGACATGGTCCCCAACCCATCAGGGTCACAGCCCCTCCCACCACCCCCATCCCCCCCGGCCACTGTCCCTGTCCCACCCAGACACGGTCACTGTCCCACTGTCCCACCTGGACACGGTCCCCGTCCCACCTGGCTGCCACCCCCATCCCCCCCCGGCCACCATCCCTGTCACGCCACGCCCCCAACCCTCTCCCACCCTCCCCCAGGCCCCCCAGCCCCCCGTGCCGGGCACCCACCCTCGGTGAACACCCTGTCCACGTTGAGCCCGTACGTGGCGCAGGTCTCGTAGTAGAGGCAGCGCCGCGAGTCCCCGCAGAGCGCCCGGGCCCGTGCGTCCTCCACCGCCCGCGGGCTGGACGAGCTGATCTTGTCTGGGGGAGGGGGGCAGGGGGTCAGCCGGGGGTCCCCCGCCCCGCTGCCCTCCCCCCGGGGCTGCCCCCCGCTCACCCTGGGTGCCCACCAGCGCCAGGGCCACGTCGCCGGCGCCGCGGAGGCCGCAGAGCAGCTCGTGCAGCCGCGACGCCTCCTCGAAGCTGCTCTCGCTCTCCAGGCTGAAGACCAGGATCACGGCGTCCGCCCAGTTGGCAAACTGGGGGGTCACGGGGGGGGTCAGGCCTGGGCCGTGGCCAGCGTGGCCCCCCCGGCCCCCGAGACCCCCCCCCATCCGTACCTGCGCGTCCGGGGCTCCGGCCTCCTCCCGGATGAGCAGGAGGTGGCTCTGCCCATCCACCGTCACCTCGCGCTTGAACTGCCCGCCTGTGCCAAGGGAGGGCACCCTGCACGTGGGCTCGGCCCCCGGGCCGTGGCCAGTGCTGGGACCACCAATGTCCCACAGCTCTGAGCGGCACCGTGACCTTGCCCGTTCCATGGCCACGTCCATCCCCTTCACCATCTCCCCTCATGGTCACATCCATCCCCTTCA